ACCTGTAATTGGCTTACATTTTTCACCGCATATATTCAAATCATATGAGGCCATTTGCATATATTGTATCAATTTGATCATACTCTCCACCAAATGACAGGGTTATCTTAAGAAATAAGGCTATTCTAGCGTTTCCTCATAAATTATGCAAATGAGGTCCTGATTGACATAAATTATGTTTAGTGATGTTCACCTTCACTGAACTTCCAATTATGGCAAGTATTAAATTCCCAGCAGTTACCACCATAAAATTGTACCAACTTGCCATTTATTATGCAAATTAGGTCTTCCTTTACATAATCGATATCTGCCAATGATCTTGTCGTTCTCACTAACATATGTCTATAGAGTTTTATAGCCCTAATATGAAATACAGCTGATTTATAGAATTTCCTCATTAATTATGCAAATTAGATCCTGATTTGCATAATTATATTTTGATTATATCAAGCATCACTTAAGCTACCTACATACCAAAAATCATGATGATCCACCAAACGGTTGTTCAGTTATCCTCTCTCGAATATTTTCAAAGAAACCACCCTGCAGTTCCAGAACAAGCCGCTAGGGAGACCAAACTCACGTGACTTCTTCCCGAGGACAAGAGCTACCTTCCATCCAAATTTCATGACCCTAGCATGTCCAGATCGCGAGATATCAAAACAGGAAGTTGCGCTGCAGTACCAAGGGAAGCCACTAGGGGCCCAAAATCTAATCATTTCCAGTTTTTGTCACACCCTACCAACACACCAAGTATGAAACCAATCCATCCAGGCGTTCTTGAGTTATCTTGTTGACCAACAGACGGACAGACGGACGGACAGATAAACGCAACTGAAAATATAACCTCCATGACACATTTCATGGAGGTAAAAAACAAGGTTTGGAAACACTCTTACGCTTTACATTTAGTCTTACTTACAAACACGTGTCTGCTTAATTGTCTGATTCGGGCTGTTTGAATATTCATGCCTAGTAGGTCGTTTACTTTCTGATGCTGACGTGTCATATTAAGACAAATTTTACATTTTCAGCGAGTGAGATATGGCACAAATTGCAGAAAAAAACATGAATTTCCTTTTTTTGCTTAAATATTTCCACCTTCTGGTTCATGTAGACATACATTTTGAAATTCATCATAAATATTGTACTATGCCATGCCGTACCTTTTGTTATTGTTTTGTTTTAACAATTTCCTTTTAAAAAAGGAAATTGTTTCTCTATATCTATTACCTAGTCCCATCCTTATACTGGAGGTTCGGGGACTATGGAAGCCTTAGTGTTAGTCTCTTCCTCTCCATCTAAACACAATAAAAATCACTAGTATTTTTGCATGAGAAGCAATTTCTCCTGTATAGTTATTTGTGTACTATTTCAGCCACACTTTTCCAGTGTATATACAGAAAAAATGATCTAAGGGCCCTGTCACACTTCTGCGAATAGCAATTGCGTATGGGTTGCGTACAGACATTTCTGCTGTACGCACAATATGCGAGGGTACTGTGACGCACATGTAGCGCATAAATAACGAATTCAGTGCATAGATTGCACATGTCATCCTTATGGCGTTCGCATGCATTGCGAAGGCCAGGCGTATTCCGGACGCTCTCAACGTATTCCCACCGAATGCCTAACGCACTTCCGACGAATGCCAAGCGTCTTGTGTACGTATTCCCCGCTGCTTCCTGCTGTTTCATTCGCAGCGAGTCATTCATGGGCCGCCCTCAACCCAATTTCGCCCCAGCCCTGTCAATTTCCTGTAATATATTGTCAGGTAAATTAGATACACGTACCCGGACTTTATACAAACATAACAGTCAGACTGTTAATAGCCTTGATGAATTGGAGATGTCAAGAAATTCCATCCCTTAATAATTTAAAAATAATGAAAACACGCATACTTGCAAATACAATTGCCAATTTACAATTGCGCATACACACAGATAGCATGGACACTACACATCTCTGCGAACACTACCATCTTTATATATCTACCGACACTACATTACAACCACAGTTCAAAGCGGCTACTGTTATAAGTCCATCATCTTTAGATGTTTCATGGCATTGAGTTTATATTCGCCCATAGCTTTTATGCTCCTACATTTTATAAACTATTTTGTACCAATCTACGTACACTACACATTTTCTCGGACAAAAAAAAACAACAACAGGCAACTGGCGTATCATCCCAAAGGACAGGCAACAAAAAGCAAGTATTCTATGTTAGATATAGATATATTGATAATATGCAAAATGGCCAGTCCTAACATCATTTTTGGGGAGGCGGTACAAGGGTGTTCTTTTGTGTTAAAAAGTGTCAAAATGCATTTTTGTGAAACATTGCACTTTAGGAAAGACGTTTTCCCAATGATCATCTACTTTTCAGCAAAACATATTAGAAACAGCCAATCTCCAGAAGGTCTGTTAACCATGGGGTCTAGAGGAGCCGGTACCCCGGGTGTAGCCCACTGGTGTTCGGCAAGTTCGCTATCTAGATCTGTACGCTACCTTTGCGCTTCTCATTAGTTACAAATACGTACAATGCGCTGTCCTATTGCAATACCAACGGTACTAAAGCGCTGTAAGTACGCAATGCATTTGTCCATTGTACGCAGCTTATGCACGGGTGCAGTTCCAGGTGCAGATCAGCGTGTGAGCCGCGTGTCCCCCACGAAGACATAGCGTACTCATACCGTGCTTGACCGATGCATTACATATTAAAAACGCATGAACTGCGTAACAGCGTACGCAGCGTAGTTTTGGGCATGCTCAAACTACGCTGCGTACTGAGCCGGGCGGTGCGTGTGCTGTGCGTATGCCGGCGTTCACTAAACTTACACAAAACGAGATATATATGTAGTGCGCAGTTTGCGTACGGCTGCGTATGAAAAAAATGTCCGTACGCAGCTCATACGCAAGTCTATTCGCAGAAGTGTGACAGGGCCCTTACCTTAGCCTGGGTACCATCCTGGTTAGTTTACGTCCGCTCCTACAGTCGCTACCACCAACCAGTCTGGGATCGCTTCCGTAACGGCCGCCTGGTGATGATGTCACGTAATGAGCCCTCATTAATATTCATGAGATCCCATCCCCAGCGTCATTGGATGACCTTTTTTGACCATGCACCAATGAGAGCGCGCGATTTAATCACGTGACCTGTTGTTTTCATCTTGGGGTCAATCGACCGAAATTTCGCGGGAAGCAGCGAAGTCATAACCAGCTTTAGGTGCAATAATCTCCCGAGTTTCCATCCATATTTGAAAAGAAATCATGGTGGTTTCAATTAGCACCTTCGTGGCACTTGGTACGATGTGTCGGGGAAGAAAATTTCCCACAGATAGGCGATGGCGCGACCGGAGAAGGCCGAGAAAAAGAGACTGTCTGCGTTGCACGATTTTTGTCGTCTTTGCGGATCTAACCAGAAAATTCGTGGGACACTCCAACATGTTCGGTACATCTTCCAGCAAAGCCCTCCCACAACGTCCAAGCCGACAGGGGAGCCCAGTATCGCCGACTTGTTGCTTTCTCTTGGGATGAAAGTGTCGCAGCAGGATGAGACAAAATCTCACCGAATCTGTCAGAAATGCTACAGGCAGTTACTCAGAGTGCGGGAGTCTGTAAACGTTTTGGAGCAGTGGCGAAGGAACGAGGGCGAGCTCGAAACTACACAACAACAAACTCCGAAGCCGTCAAACAAACGTGACCGAGAACCGACCCCGTCAAAAACTCCCAGGGACCCGAAGAAGCGGTTGTTGCGGACACCACAGAAGGCATCGACCCCACAACCTGCCAAGAGATCCCTGAGTCAGGTCCCGGCCCGTCGCAGTGTCACAAAGGTAATTTTCTATTGTCTTGAATCTTTGATAGCGTATTGCAAAAAAAAAAAATTCATGGACACAGATGTTGTTGTGGCTTCCCTAATTTGACAACTTCGGAAGTTTTCACGTGTCACGATGAAATGAACTCGTTAATTTATTCATGCTGCTATAATGGGTTGGACATACACTGGTCTATGTAAAGGTTATAATTTGTTACATGTTTATGTGGATTTTTATTTGCAGAATTGATGTTTTTTAAACAGTTTGTATTATGATCCACACTTCCTAAATTCTGAGTGGTGAAGGTAGAATTTGTCTGGTACAAAAAAAAAATTATTCAAAATGCAAGACAGTACCCCAACCCACTTGTTGTTTATTTATTTGTTTATTTCTTGGTTGAACTAGCATAATTTATGTGCTTGAAGGTAATACATGTTAGGTAAAGGAAGTGTGTTGTCCTGTAAAATTACATGGATAAACTTGAAATTTTTTAACCAGGATTCAGATTAAAAAAAAGTGTATAAAAATGTGAAAAGATATGTGGCAGGTATGATGTGTGAACTTAAGTAAGTGTATGTCAGAAATTTGCAATTTGCAATAGAAAATATTTAAGGACAGACATGTCACTTACTGTGTACATGTACTTTAATACTGCACATGAATGTGAGGTGTCAGACTTCTCATGTCATCAATGATTTTAAACAGATAAAAACTTGGCATACTTAACCTTACATTCTAATGATGATATGTACATATAACTTTATAAGGAAAGTTTGTTGACTAGGGCTGTTCAATTTTTTTTTAGGTCTCCGTAACCTATCCCTCAAGACCAGAACGCCCAGACAACATCACGTGTGATGATGCAGTTGCAGGTATCGTGGAAAATCTGGCAAGGGGGCAATGGAAGACAGCTGCCAGGATGATCTTCACATGCGAAAACCTGGCAGCAGAAATCAAGTCCCAAACACTACATCAAATTGAAACAGAGTGCAAACAGCTCACAGCAAAGTCCAACGATTTCATCCTCTGGAAAAAAACATCTCATGACTTGGAGAACTTCTCGTTCACACAACTGTATGATGACCTGGGCCGCCTGTCACCACTTCTCCAATCAATCCTCCAGACTGTCAGCCAGTCCAAAAATCACACATGCGCGAGTGCATCAGTGGCACTCAGAGGACGGGAACCTCGCTTGTCTGCCTTTTCCTACTACATTGATGCTGTTCTGCAGTATGGGGGGGCAAAGAAGGCAGTCTACACACGTCTTAGCAAGCTGGGGATATCAACGACACAGGGGAATGGGAGACTAAAGCAACAGGAGATGGCAAAGGAATGTGGAAAGGGAATCCGTTCCTTGAAGAGGCAGATGGAGGAGTACAAGGAGAGGCAAGCACAGGCAGAGAAAGAAATGGCGGTGGACACAGGAGACACACGAGGCAGGGAAGAGGAAACACACATGCAGACAGGTGCAGCCATGCCAAGTCCGAGCACAGAAACACCTGTGCCAGGAGACACACGAGGCAGGGAAGAGGAAACACACATGCAGACATGTGCAGCCATGCCAAGTCCGAGCACAGAAACACCTGTGCCAATGTCACACCTAAACCTTTCAGAGAGTGACTTGCATGACCTAGAGGTGGACTTTATAGAAAGAGTTACTCTAAACGATGCAGATGACGCCCCTCCAACAGAACCCACGTGCAACGATCCACCACCTCCACCAACATACAGTATCATATTTGACAATCTAGACTTTTACGTACACACACACCATCAGTCCCAGTCAAACAAAAACAAGTCCATCCACTGGTCCCACCATATTGGAGTACCAGATCGTGTATCATCTCATCACCTACCAAATGACGCACCCATCCAGCCATTACCCTTGTTCGACATAGCCAACTCACTTCCATCACCCAACACACAAGCCTGCCTCAGATCAGAATTCATCATCATCGGAAGCCGTATCCTGACCAGACATGTCCCAGCATTCCGCCGCTTTTCTCCTGTCATCATCAACCACATTCCCCACCAATACTCCGACGTCATGTCTCAACCATCGACTGAGGTGAGCTGATTTCCTTTAAATTAGCTCAATCTTTGAACTGTATCTAATTTTATGTGTACATGTATTTCTCCTTTAGATTTCTCAAATTATATCTGTGAAACTTTTGTTGTCATTATCAATTGAATGAGTATAATGTTATGACTTCAATGTACTGATATAGAACATTAATGTACATGTTACATGTGAACAATACTATGTCATATAGTCATTATCATTGTGCTCCCATGTTGTTACACTGGCGTAAAGTAAAAACAAACTCTCCCTTCCTTTCAGTTTCCTCTTGGCCTCCTCTTCAAGAATGAAAACGTCAGAGGTGACCTTGTGGATATGCTCCAGTACATGCAGAGAGAGTGAGTGTTTTAGCAGTCTTTGAGGCTCAGGCAATTCTAATCTTCATCTGCGCACCTGTATATTTCACATTATTATATCTATATGGTATAAGCTGGCCAAACTCCTTGTCAGACGATAGAAGTGAGCAGTTACTAGGGCTGAACAGTAAACTTGTAATGATTCTGCACATTGTTTTTTTGTGTTGACAGTTGCACCACCGTCTATGACTTCACTGTGTAATGTTACTTGTACTTGTTTTCACTGTAGTTGAAATGTTACTTGTACTTGGTTTTACTGCAGTTGAATTATTACTGTAAGGCTCAGCGCAGTTCAGCTGTGGCTGTAGGGCCGATCTACTGTGTTTTAACAATAAACCAATTAATCACTACTAGAGTCTACACCTGGATATGTCTTAGCTACAGATTAAGCTTTAGTTCCTGCGTTGTCATTTTACTGCTTGCTTTCCTAAATACCAACTTTGCGATTTTCCTTCCATCGGATTTAACTACTTCTGTGACTTTCCTTCCATCAAATTAACCTTAAACACCACTCCTTATGTCGGTGTGTAATGTTATGTTACCAGAGCTAGTTAGAACTAGTACTTTTCTGGTGGCTAAAGAAAAATATTGATTTCTGTTCCTTCACTACAGGTATGTTCCCAGAACGCAGAATGGAGTGGACAGCATATTCGTTGGCGGTGACCGTCTGACAGAGGGCAATAGCAGAAATGCCCAGTGGTCGTTTGCGGAGGGGGAATGTCCTGAAGAAAGGCTGGAGGGGCTGTTGTTCCAGTTCTTAGATTGGCACGCCATTGTGAATCTGTACCAGGTGAGATACATGTACATGAAAAGAAAATGTTTTGTGAGGGATGCAACTTAAAGTTTTAATGCCATGAGTATATTCAAGACAATGAAAACTATGTGACACTTGCAATATTTTTATTTGTATCACTTGCAGGTACACGAGAAGATATTCTGCAGGAAGAAGTCAGCACGTGACCATGGGACACTGTATGCGAACATGAACAAACTAGGATGCAGCAATGCTAAAAAAGGGCCCCATGCAGCATACAATCCATACAAAGAGGTGGTACACAAGGACACCTGCGCCATGTTCATCGAAGCGACTTCAAACTACTTTGGCACAGACATTCTGAAAGGTTAGCATATCAATACATCAATATTTGCTTTTACAGTTCACTGTTGAATGTTAACTGATTTTTTTCTGACAACATTCAGTTTCAGTCACAACATATAGCATGTACAAAGTTTATTTCATTTTTGGTGGTTTGGTGTTTGTATACTGTTGTGACTTACAGTTTTACCTTAAAGACATTATTTTACAAACCTGTTGTCCAACAACAAAATCAATTTGCAAAGGTTGCTTGAATATGACATACATCATACTTATGAAGAGTAATGGAGTTTTCCTGGAAGTCACCATCTCCTGTATAAGTATGTTGTGACATTGGGATTTCTTTTCTTTTGTTGTCATTATAGATGGAGACTTCATCCCCCAAGAGATCCAGAATGGAACCAAGGAAGAGCAACGAACCTGGCTTCACGAAAAGGTTGGCCACGTTGTTGACACATACGTCATGAACCAGGATGCACAGAACCTGACCAACTTGTACATTGGCGTCAATGAAGAGTCGAGACCACAACGGAGGGAAAAGCCCTGTCGGGAGCCTGGCTGCCCACGTGTCTTTGTGTACCCAAAGGCCAGGATCACACATGAGAGAAAGGAACATGGCCTGGACTTTGGTGAACCAGACCACAAGGAAGAGCTCACAGCTAAGCCACCTCCCTGTGACTACAAAAAACAGCACACGGAGGCAAGGCTTAGCTTTGGGCTCTTCCTTGAAGACATGCAGGATGCTGTAAAAGAAGGTGATGGGGAAAGGCTGATGAGGCTATATACAGTGGCCTTGCTCTATTATAAGGCATATGGGCACACCCAGTATTCCTATAGTGTTCTGCTACTGACGGTTCAGATCAATTCAATACTGTCCCCACAAAAGGCACACAGCCTAACCTGGAATAGGTTCTACAACGGGAAGGGAGGGAAGGGGAGGAATATTCCCCTGGACCTCCACCTAGAACACCTGAATAACTTTTTGAAGTCCTTTCTGAAAGGGTTGGGACCAAATCTCACGGAGAGAAGTGCCGACAGAATCAGCAAGTCTCTGGGTACTTTGAAAACCCTGCTGAAGAGGACTGATGAAGAACTCGGTGTGGCAAGCCCCTCTGGTTACCACCACAGTGCAAACCCAACTCAAGATGTGCATACACTTGTGGAGGTGATCAGGGAGGCAGATCTCTTCAGTCACTATCCAGGCAGGGCATTTACTGCTTTTCCCAACTTCGACAGAAACCTTTTCGCACCACTGAAATATGACAAAATGTGGGAGTGGATTAAAAACAGTCTGAAGCTCTGGAATAATAAGTATCCATAGTTTTATTGCCATTGAATTGCCTTAATAAGGTTTTCCCAGCAGTCCATTTGCATTTTTGTTTATATTAATGTTACTTTCCTTTACTCAAACCTTTGTGATTGTAATAGCTTTCCAAGTTGTACAGAGTCTCATCAACCGTTTTCCATTACGGTAAGAGTACCCATCCAAACTGTGTAGTAATTACACCTGATTGTTCTTATCAGGACTATGTTCCCACTGGATGCGCTGCATAGTCATGTAAACCAGAGTGTGACAGCACTGACATTATGTGCCACAAACCTTCCATTGCAACTATTACCTATTATTTGAACTTAAATCCAATGACACAAAATCCAACTTATTTGCATGAGACCACAAGTTGTTTGGCACATAAGCTGCCTCTATGGATGTCAAGTGTATATACATGTATATATTCTGTATGTAATGTACACTACATGTGTACCTAAGAAATTACTAAGTACAAAGGATTTTCAGTTAGCCCTCACTGTCTGCACTGTCATACATGTACAATAGACAGTCATCGTCCCAGTCATCAAATATATCTGGTTCATCAAAGTATCCAGGGTAGTCAATGTTTGGTACGTTAACATGTGATATATCCTCCAAAGCAGAGGGTTCAGGACGTTCAATATCACCGAAAACTTCATATATTATGCGGAGGATCTCTTTCGCATGTTCGGCTCTGAAAACAGGTAGATGAGTGGAAATGAACTCAATATCAAAGATATGGGTACAGTTACTGACAACAGCTTCTATTAACTCATCGCTGAACCCAGTACATGCTCCAGGGCTTGTAAAGAGATTTGTGGAATGTTGCAATAGACAACTTTGATATTCATGTAACAATTCCCTCAGCAGGTCCCTGTCATCTGAATCAACATCTCTGAACCTAGTAGGTAGTTTTACAATATTCTGGAACGCTTCAGAATGTGGAAATGGTACATTACATGAGCCATCTGTACAATCACATGTTCTGTGGCAGTGGGTGCAGCACAGATGTCCAGGTTTCACACTTGTTGGGTTTTCTTCAAATTGTCCATACAGACGTTTTCGTATGCATTCGTCGGGCTTTGTAGCAACAAGTGACTTGACAGAGTCATCTACTTTTAATCAGCTGTGTACCATGATAGTAAAGTATTGCATTTACAGCAGATCCATCCCGCCCAGCCCTTCCAAATTGTTGTAAGACACCTTCAGTATCTGCTGGTGGGCCATACAGAATGACAGACGACACTTTGGGAAAATTCATACCCATCCCCAGTGCAGTTGTAGCAGCAATAACCCTACAGTTCCCATCTTCACTTAATGCTGATAGTACATTCTGTTTGTGTTTAGGCAATGTGTTACCGTGAAATATTCCTATCAAATGGTTTTTGGTCTTGCGCTCTGGGTCTTTATCAACCCAGGCATCCTCTGCCAGCTCTGCCTGTAAGTAGTGGTACACCATACCGATCGCCTTAATGGACTTACAGTATATAATCGTCTGCGGTGCAGATTCCCCATTGTCTCTTATTGACTTGACCACCCAATCGAGACATCTCAGGTCATCACGAGGAACTTTCATGAGTCCAAGTCTGATATTTTCCTTGTTCGGGGAGACATGTATCCTCTGTGCACCTTGCATGTTGAGAAGACTGATCACACGTTCTCGAGATGGGATGTCTGCAGATGCTGTTAGTGCTAGGATAGGTGTACCTGGGGAAAGGGAACAATTGTGAACAAATATTCTCCACCATTTTCAGATAAACGTTTCGTAACTGTGAATCATGAAGATAATAACATGCTTGTGTATTGTAGTTTGTACAACTTTGATACAGATGTAACAGAGTACATGTACTTCTTAATGAATATTGTCACATTTTATACAGTGTACCTTTATGAAGACAAAGAAACCTGCAGTTCTTGTGAATAATGTAAATAATGCTCAGTTTGCATACAGACATATCAGTGTGCCTTCATAAATCCTTGTAAATGATGTTCAAGTGAAATACATACTACATGCATATAAGTTTTGTTACATTAGAATTGTATTCTTTCTGATTAGTATTGTTCTACATCATCCTGTTATATAAACAGACATATTTTTTGTTGAAACATGTGCTCTTATTTACTGCCTCTTATTGTAATATTAGGAGATATGTTAGTAATAATTTATTTCTACCAAAAGAATCTTACCTTCTTTGACAAGTGAGCGCAGCTCTCCCAGTCGACTGAATGCTTCTCGGAATGCTGGCTTTCCTTTCTTACCTTGGCCCCTGTTAATTAATAGATAGCCTAATCAATCACTACAATTTTATATCTGAGAAATATTCACAGTACTGTCAGTAGACTACCCTTCCAACTACTGGATGCATGCCTTTTCGATGATCAAGTTTATGCACTTTATTTTGTTAACTTAGATATGGGCCTGAAAGTAAGAAACAATCACAAGATGGACTAGTAAAGATAGACATAGAACAGAGTAGATTACCGTAGAGTAGACTAGATACCTTGATCTGAAGAAAATGCTGGTACAAGACAAGTTATGAATTATGTATTAGTATTATGAGTCTTCTTGCCCTGCTAGATTAATAAACGCTGCATAGCATTCAACTTAAAGATACATATGTTCTTAGCTCGCATGCAGAAGAATAAAAAAAGTACCATTTATGCATCATGTGGACTTCGTCGACCACGATGCCTACAAGGTTGCGGCGGTAGCGTGCCGACGCTAGCATCGTCCTCCATTTGTCGTTAAGAATCCAGCTCTCGGGGCTACCGAATACGAGCTGGACGCTTCCGGACAAAATCCTGTTGTCACTAGTACCACCAAGCTGAGCTGCGGTTATGCCCAGTTTTGCTGCTTCCTTAACCTGATCCTCCATCAGAGCGACAAGTGGGGAGACTACAATCACGATGGGGTTTTCCACGCCTGGAAACAAAGAGCTTCTTTCCCCCTCCGTCTGCAAGTACGCCTTGCACACAAGAGGCACCAGTTGGTAAATCAAGCTCTTGCCAAAACCAGTAGGTAACAGAGCTAGAACGTCTTCCCCACTCAGAAAAGCTTTAAGTGCCTTCTCTTGTTCGCATTTTAGCTCAGAAATGCCATCTAAACTAGCCAGAACCGACGTAATTGCCCGATCGATCGCGCTAGCGCTAGAATCGGGCTCCGCGTCGGCCATGTTGATGATGATAGGAAAGCCACCCCGCCAGGGGAACGCACAAAGAGAGGGCCAATCAGCGCGCTCGCACCAAACCTGGCTGTATATTCGTATTCCAGGCGGCCGTTACGGAAGCGATCCCAGACTGGTTGGTGGTAGCGACTGTAGGAGCGGACGTAAACTAACCAGGATGGTACCCAGGCTACCCTTACCTGAGTGTTCAATTAAATATTACCTTTCATGCCATTCTGAATATCTTCAGTTCTAGGGCGGTGAAGTCATGGTGGTCTTTCCTCGGTCTTTGCAGTTGTGCCTCTCCATTGTGAGCTCTGGGTGCCTGTTCCGTACTCAGTCTGACAAACAAGCCTGGAAAAACTTACGTAATCTGGGTGTGGTGATTGTCTGAGCCTGAATGGTTGAAAATTAACATTAATGATAAATAGTAATGGTTTTCTTGCCAGTTGAAATCGCCTCGAAATTCGTTAACTGTAATTTTGTTGTTAGCTGCTATGGGGCACCTTTACTACATTTTGTTGATGAAAAATAACGGTTCTCGGTAGCAAATGTACAGATGTTGGCACATTGGCGCACCAAATCCGTAGTGTGTTTTTTCACACATCTACTAATAGACAGATTAACCTAAGACGCTAGGTGGGCGTCATTCCGCCGTACGGGGAGGGAACTCGTGTAAAGTGCCTTTCCCGAGGGCACAACGTCGGACTGGACATAATGAGCATCGAACCCGGGGCCTATTGGTTCCGAGTCCAACGCTCTAATCGTTGCGCCACCGACGTCACGACATTATGTTGCTAATGTCGATACGATTCTATACGCTTCTATTGTGTTGATAATGTTAATGATAATGTTTCATAATAATAACATACTTGTTCATTTTCTTCAAGTTAGTTGTGATTGAGATACGCATTCTTAGAGACGACTAAAAGCCTGCCTAATTTGCAGTTAAGCATTTTCTTTATTGACAAGGAGTTGAACCAAGTTTGACAAATAACATAACAGTAAATTATGTGCAGTCAAAGCTTAAGGATTGTTAAAAACATCTTGTATACGTAGAAGTCATCTAAAGATCTCTCTTAAATATCTCCAAACTAATTATTTATGCTTCAAAATGCATTCACACCTTTTGCCTTACCACTGACGAGTATACACGTAGGTTGAATAAAAAAGATGTTGGAAACACGTCACCAGTGTGTTTATACGCTAAAAATCAAACGTGTGCTTAGCTTCCCTTTACATGTGCAGTCCCATTTAGCTCAGTCCGACAAAAGTCTTTCACAATATAATTTTATCATACAAAATTGCGCCTTAGTTTACTATTAAAGGAATAGTTAGTTATTAAAGGAACCTTTCAATTGAACACTGTTGTTTCAACATGTTACTGAAAAGATTATTTGAGAAGATAATTGAGCTTGTTACAGTTTTGTATTGCCCCTTATCGTATTGCCCCTTATATTGAACTGTTACAATAAATATATAAACCACTTAAAATATAATCCACTTAAATTCAAAATCGCTAGCATTACATGTGACTTATAACACATTGCGTTAAAAAGTAAACATATTACTATTATACAATTTTTCGAGGAAATGTAGTTCTTCAAGTTATATGGGTAAATTATCTTACATATTACTGTAGTTTGAACAACATGTATTTTAGGCTCAAAGTTTACTCATCCCTATATAAACAATACAAACATTATCACACAGGCATCAGTACATAGTACTTACCAACAGCAAAGGCAATATATTTTTTTACAAATTTCCTACATTATTCATTAGGGGGTTGCCTGTGCTAAAGAAGCGCCTTGTCTGACCACTAGTTATTTCCATACTCCCTGACTGTCTAATCATGATCACTGGTCATTGCCATAGACCGTTGGCTCATTTTTCTGTGTTTTTACACCTTCATACATAGGGTTTGGCTGTAAGGTAGCTAGCAATGCATCGCCTGATAGTAGTGGTAAGTCTCTAATATCAATGGATCGAGTGGTGCCTTTAGACTGATCATGACCACTGGCCACTACAGTAGCTTTGGTGTTTGTGTTGGATTCAGTTATGGTCTGAGACTGACCCTGCCCTGTGTGATCATCACCACTGGCCACTACAGTAGCTGTGGTGTTTGTGTTGGATTCAGTGACCGTTGGCTCATTTTTCTGTGTTTTTACACCTTCATACATAGCATTTGGCTGTAGGGCAGCTAGTAGTTCATCAACTGATACCGGTGGTAGTTTTCTGATACCAAAGGATTCTGTTGTGCCCTTAGACGGACTATTGCCACTGGCCACTACAGTAGCTGTGGTGTTTGTGTTGGATTCAGTTATGGTCTGAGACTGACCCTGCCCTGCCTGATCATGACCACTGGCCACTACAGTAGCTGTGGTGTTTGTGTTGGATTCAGTGATGGCCTGCGACTGACCCTGCCCTGTCTGATTATATTTAGTGTATATGGATTCAGTGGTTGAGTTTGAGGCAGTCGGTTCTGTATTATATAGTTGACTCTTAGTGTCCAGGGGTGGGGCAATAACCTGATAGCCTGTCTGACTACTATAATCATTAACTGTGGTGTTTGTGTTGGATTCAGTGATGGCCTGAGACTGACCCTGCCCTGTCTGATTGTGTAGATTCATATATTCATGCTTGTGATCATGACCACGAGTTGCTACAACAGCTGTCACCGTGGTGTTTGTGTTGGATTTAGTGATGGCCTGAGACTGGCCCTGCCTTGTCGTAACATGATGGGTCATATCTTCATACCTGTGATCATGACCGCTGGCCACAACAGTAGCTGTGGTGTTTGTGTTGGATTTAGTGATGGCCTGAGACTGGCCCTGCCTTGTTGTAACATGATGGTTCATATCTTCATACCTGTGATCATGACCACTGGCCACTACAGTAGCTGTGGTGTTTGTGTTGGTCTGAGACTGACCCTGCTTTGTTCGATCAAGTTGGTCTACATCTTCATACTGGTGATCATGACCACTAGTTGCTATAACAGCTGTGGCGGTTGTGGTGTGCAAAACAGGGTTGGAGTTCGCACCCGAATCGGAATTCCCCAACCTCCTTTTACACCAGAGTGTCAAAATGACACCAACAGAAAAAGAAATCATTGAACCAATAATAGTCGGAGTGTAAACAGGACCTAGGGGCAAACTGGGATCATTCTGAAGGGAAGTACCAGTGACGGCAAGAGTTGAGGTCATTGACCCTTTCCATGTAGTGTCAACTGTAGAGTCAACATTGCGTTTGAAGTGCCAGTGATAGTGAGAGGTGGTGGTACCATCATTATTATTTGCGCTTTTCAATGGATGGTCTATAGTATATGCTGTTAGGCTTACATTGTTTTCTGCATTAGTCATTGAAGATGTTGTCACTGCAGATGAACTCAATGAGTATTGAGAATCGACAGGTGGTGTTGATTTTGTTGGGTCCTCACAGATCAGATCGTCGGGACTTAAATCTTTAAGTTTTTTTCTTGAAAGTTTGGCAGGTTGGGCACATGTTATCTGATTTAGAATTGCAGGAGTTTCATTCAATTTTTGCCAAAAGGGAGCCATCTTACAGTCACACTGCCAGGGGTTGTGGCTAATCTGTAAGTAATGAATAGTTGTCATCATGTCATTGACGTCTGGGGGAAGGGCAGATAGCTGGTTTGACTGGAGGTCCAAATATTGGAGCTTGGGTAGATTTGAAAACGTACCAGCCTGGATGTTCCTTAGCTTGTTTGAGTTTAGGAGCACCTTTTTGAGGCAAGGCAGATTTGAAAGTGCACCAACCTGAATGCTGGATATCTGATTGGAGGCAAGTTTCAAAATGTCGAGTCGCGGTAGATTTGAGAATGTGCCAGCCTGAATGGTGTTTATGTTGTTTCCGCGCAGGTTCAATTCTGTAAGCTTGGGTAAATTTGAGATTGCGCCAACCTGAATGCTGTTTATGTTGTTCAGGTACAGGTGCAAAATCACTAGCTTAGTTAGATTTGAGAATATGCCAACCTGAATACTGGTTACGTTGTTTGAGTCCAGATACACATATGAAATCTGAGCTAGAGTTGAGAATGTGCCTGGATGTACATAAGTTATTTGGTTGAATGACAGGTGCAGACTTTTTAGCTTGGGTAGATTTGAGAATGTACCATTTTGAATGCTGGTTATCTTGTTGGAATTCAGATACAATTTTTCAAGCCGGGGTAAGTCTGAAAATGCGCCAACCTGAATGTTGGTTATCTTGTTGGACTTCAGGCACAAAATTCTAAGCCTTGGTAAATTTGAAAATGCGCCAACCTGAATGCTGTATATTTGGTTGGATGTAAGTTTAACCCGGAGGAGCTGGTGAAGATTTGAGAATGTGCCAACCTGAATGCTTGATATTTGGTTTGAGCCAAGCCTCAACGTCTCGAGCTGCCATAGATTTGAGAATGTGCCAGCCTGAATGCTGTTTATACGGTTCGAGGCCAGGTTCAATATTTCTAGCTTTCTTAGACTTGAGAATGCATTCCTCTGAATGCTGGTCAGGTTGTTTAAGCTAAGGTTCAAATATACGAGGTCGCGTAGATTTAAGAACGCACCAGATTGAATACTAGTTATCTGGTTATCTTTCAAACATAACCAGGTGATGGAATATGGGTATCGGAGGTTCTGAGGGATCTGGGTGAGGCCCCTATTTTGACAGCTGCAGCGTGATTGTTCACACAGCTGCAGCGTGATTGTTCCACAGTCACAGATACCTTCAGGCGTGTTGGGCTCCTTCAGGATGAGGAGCAGAAAAATCAGAAGGTGTCGCAGCTTCCTTCCCATGTCGTCCTGTAGTCTGCAGGCAACAGGAAGGAATTGGATTTAAATAATGGCAATAGGTGATGGTAGACGAACACCGTTTACACCTTTTTGGATGTTGGAGTTAAAACTTTTGGTGCGACACATAAAAGTTCTCTCACTTTCAAGAGCTTTCGACCAGTTACTCTGGTCTTCCTCAGTATACTGACCCAGTGAGGCTTGTCACGTGGCTTCTTTGAACCTTTTTGGATGTTTTAGGAACACACAGACACACTAGCATACAGACCTGCCCATTGGCAGACAATAGACCATAGCGATATTCCTTCTCTTTGATTTATTTTATTTCATTCACATGTATTGGGAAAAACGTATACATACTTATTGGGGCCCTGTCCTCTCCACATATACAGACTAGAGTTCCACGATCTCATACCTTCGCCAAATGATGTTAGCCTTTATGACTAAGAAATTATAGATGAATCCCCCTGATTGTGCGAATAGGATCCTATATTGCATCAATTATATCTGTTGATCATATTCTACACCAGAAGACAGTCTTATCTTATCAATGCATGCCATTATAGCATGTCCTCATAAATTATGCAAATGAGGTCCTTATTTGAATAAATTATGTTTAATAATGTTCACCTTCACATAACTTTCAAATATCCCAAGTATAAAAATTCCAGACATTACCACTATGTAAGTATAACATTTTTCTCGTTAATTATGCAAATTAAGTCTTCATTTGCATAATCGATATCTGCCTGTATTTCTGCCGTTCTGCATTACATATATCACAAGCTTGAATAGTCCTATCATGGAATGCAGCTGATATATAGAATTTCCTCATTAATTATGCAAATTACATTAATATTTGCATAATTGTAATAACATTATGTCAAGCATCACTTCAGCTACCTACATGCTAACAATCACGACGATCCATCAATCGGTTCTTGAGTTATCCGCCTTTAAACATTTTTCAACTAATGCCCCTGCAATTCCAGAGCAAGCCGCTAGGGGGTCCAAACTCACGTCACTTGTTCCCCAGCACAAGAGCTACCTACCATCCAAATTTCGTCACCCTAGCATGTCTAGATCACGAGATATCAAAACCGGAAGTTCAGCTGCAGTATCATAACAAGCCGTTAGGGGGCCCAAAATTTAATCAGTTCCACGTCTCATGAAGACCTACCCACCTACCAAGTATCAAGACAATCCATCTTAGCCTTCTTGAGTTATCGTGCTCACACACACACACACACACACACAGACACACGAACGCCAACGAAAACATAACCTTCTTGGCGAAGGTAATAAAAGTAACATCAACGAAACAAAAACAATGTAACTATCCTCTTTATCATATTTATGTCTCTGGAACCACAAGTAGCAAATACAGCAACTGGAGGGGGCGTATAGTACACACAGTGTCACTAAGTCACCCAAAAGAGGTGGTTTAGACCAGATAGTCCCTAGAAACTATCTGGGTACATTTATGCCTTGGATACATGCTACCAATTATGCATACATTTTATGCAAAGTATTTCATTGCCCTAAACGAGTTAGATTTTTAGTATCAGTATTAATATGCTGGAACGCAATACAGAAATATATTATGTAGAAACGCTAACATGCTAACGCTAACGCTTACTTACAAACACGTGTCTGGTTAATTGTCTGATTCAGGCTGTTTGAATATTCATGGTTAGCAGGTTGTTTACTCTTTGATGTTGTGCCTTTTGCTGACGTGTCATATTAAGACAAATTTTACATTTTCAGCGAGTGAGATATGGCAAAAATTGCAAATAAAAACAAGAATTTCCATTTTTTGCTTAGATATGTCCATCTTATAGTTCATGTAGACAAAAATTTTGACATTCATCACAAATATTGTACTATGCCATGCCGTACGTATCTATTATTGTTTTACTACATCTACACCTGTAGCTATCTCCTTTCTCATACTGGAAGGTCGGGGACCTCGAAAGTCTTTAGTGTTAGTCTCTTCCAATGCATTTGAACACAAAAATATTACTGATAATTTTGCATGAGAAGCAATGTCTCTTGTATAGTTATTTGTTTATTATTCCAGCCTCACTTCTCCCATGTATGTACAGAAAATACAAGATCTTACCTGAGTGTTCAATCAAAACTTACCTTTCATGGCATTCTGAATATCTTCAGTTCCTCGGCTTTGGAGCCATGGCGGTCTTTCTTCAGTCTTCGTTCGGGAATTGTGCCTCCCAGATGTGAGCTCTATGTAGCTTGTCCGTACTCGGCGGCAGTCTGACAAACAAGCCTGAAAAAATCTTGCGTAATCTGGGTGTGTTGATTGTCTGAGCCTGAATGGTTGAATATTAACATTAATGATACATAAATATTGTTTGCTTGCCATTTGAAATCGCCTCAAAATTCCTTAACGGTAATTTTGTTGTTAGCTGCTATGGGGCGTTTTTACTACATTGTGCATGCGGATAAAAAAAACTACGGTTCTCGGTAGCAAATGTACAGATGTTGGCACATTGGCGCACCAAATCCGTAGTGTGTTTTTTCACACATCTACTAATAGACAGATTAACCTAAGACGCTCGGTGGGCGTCATTCCGCCGTACGGGGAGGGAAACTCGTGTAAAGTGCTTTCCCAAGGGCACAACGTCGGACTGGACATGATGAGCATCGAACCCGGGGCCTATTGGTTCCGAGTCCAACGCTCTAATCGTTGGGCCGCTGACGTCACATTATGTTGCTAATGCTAAATACGTTTCTACACGTTTCTATTGTGTTTATTATGTTAATGATAATGTTTGATAATAATAACGTACTTGTTCATTTTCTTCAAGTTAGTTGTGAGTAAGATATGCATTCCTAGAGACGACCAAGGCAAAGGCCTCATAATGTGCAGTTTTTTTATTGACTAGGAGTTGAACCAAGTTTGACAAATAACATTACAGTAAATTATGTGCAGGCAAAGCTTAAGGATTGTTCAAAATATCTTGTAGAGGTCATCTAAAGCTCTCTCTTACATATCTCCAAACTGCTGTTAATCATTTATGCTTCAAAGTACATGCTTTAAATGCCTTACAACTGCTGAGTACATGTTGGATAAAAGAGCGTTGCTGAGCAACAAACACGTATCAGTGCAAACACTAGAAAGGAAACTTGTGCTTAGCTTCACTTCAAATATTTAGTGTCATTTAGCTTAGTCCAAACAAATATGTCTTTCACAATATGTCATCATATAAAATCGTGGGGAAGTAATTGGTACAATTATTTTACTTACAACGTATCAAAATAATGTTACAACAACAATACAACAATATATTTTTCACAGTATGTCATCATATAAAATTGCGGCAGGAATGAGTGGTACAATCATGTTACTTGTTAAAGGAACTTTTCAAGTCTGTCGTTTAAACGTGTTGCTTAAATATCGATTCGTTGAGCTTCAAAATGTTACAGTTTAGTAGTGACCATTATGGGGGTACTAAACTGCACTGTTACAATAAATGTATAAATTAATAATTAGAACGTTAATTTTCATTCTAAACCATGTTCAATAGTCGTTGCCAAACATTGCACCATGTACGCTTGTCGTGCAATAAATTTATTCATATAAACCACTATAATCACTAACATCACTCACAACATGTAAAGTATAGCACATTGCGTTGAACAATTATACATATTACTATAATAGAAGTTTTTGAGAATTTTTTTTAAGTTGCATGGGTAAATGACCGGTCACATATACTACTGGAGTTTGAACAGCATGTATTTTAGTAAAGTTTACTCATCACTAGAACAATACAAATATCATAACACACAAGCATCAGTACACAGTACTTACCACCAGCAAAGGCTTTCCTACATCATTCATTAGGGGGTTGCCTGTGCTAAACAAAACCCTTGTCTGACCACTAGTAACTAACTAAGTTATTTCCATACTGCTTGCTCCCTTACTGTCTAATCATGATCACTGGTCATCACCATAGACTGCTGGCTAATTTTTCTGCTAGTGCGCGCGGGCGAATCAAAATCCAACTTGTGAATGTGTGACAGAAACTTTACGGGACAAGACACCTCGAGGGCTTTATGTATTCATCCTGAACGAGCAGACTGGGGCAGTACTTGAGAAGGCTGCATTTGACACCTGGTATTATGGAGATGGTATCACAGCAGTACAAAGACTAACAGCCTATCTGCAGGGCGTCAAAGAGGTATGTGTAACAACAAAGTTGAGTTATATGATACGACACGATGGTTAGAGTTTTCACAGAGGAACCTGGAGGATTGAGGTTTGACTATCCGACTTTACTGATCTTTAACTAAATTCCTCACGTCACTTATCAGTAAAGTCTGGTGTGGATAAGGTCACGTGTTTGTAAACTTTCGTGAGATTACGTTGTGAAGTGACTGGTCATTAATTATCCTGATGAAGGCGACAGTGGTCGCTGAAACTTTGAACTCATATACTAAATCATAATAATCATAATAAAGTTCAACGTTTTACTATAATTGATATGTTTCATTCTGCTGCAGGGGCGGATCATTGTTATCGCTGTCCTTGATACCGGTGATACCGGCGTTCCTAACGAACCCAACCTGGCACCTTATGGATCCACCATGCAACCAGGCAATCATTCTATATTCTTTAAGGATAAGACCATAAAAATGCTCGGCTGTGAAAAAACACATTATCATTTAGGGCATCGCAATAAACCTGGAATGTTCTATTTTGGCGTGATGTATTATAACACCTCATCATAACCTGCTGTACCGAAAGGCAGACCTTTATTGTACATTTTTGCCCCACTGGGCTAAGCACAGGTCACATTATACATATACATATACGGATACATATACATATAACTATTACATGTACATGTATATATATATGTCTAATGTATTCTAGTATTTTCAACTTGTTCTCGCTTCTTAGTAATTGTATAAATGTACGGATACATATTCATATACATATAACTATTACATGTACATGTATATGTCACAGGGGAGATTGTAATCCAGGGGGATCCGGAATCCTCCTAGGGGAGATTGGAATCCTGATATTCAGATCCTAATTCAGTAGTAGAAATACTAGAACTCATAGATTGAATCATTTCACACCTAAAGTTTCAATCAATTTCAGCATAGGCAAGCCTACTAGTATTACTATAATTGTAAGTGAATTACTAGATTCGAATCAAGATTTTTCCTGGCATAATTTGCAGTTCTTATTCCATAATTGCAATCTTTCCAAACTTAGACCCAAATATATTTTCAATTGACAAAATGACGTGAAAACAAAATGGGAAAATGAAGGAAACAACAATATTCTTACAAACCATGATTTTATTCAGAATTTACAAATCACCAGCAAACTGGAAAAACTGGTTTTGGAGTTACTATCTCACAATGGCCTAATGAAAATTTGAACTTCTACGGAATCCCATCAGGTACGAGAGAATATATGTCTTGTTAGAATCATGAACTCATTGTAGATACACAAGTAAATATATTACATGTAATGCATCGAAATGTGAAGCGTAGGTAGTTCGTGGAACGTTACAGTTTGTATCAAGTTTGGCGTGAATTGAAAAAAAAATACGTCCTTAATTCTGACACAGATATCATGTCATAGCAACCCCCTTTGGTTCCGATATCTGTTTAACATCGGAATACATTTCTGATGGAAAATAGAATGTTGAAATTTATTACTGTAATAGTATATATATATATATATATATATATATATATATATATATATATATATATATATATATATATATATATATATATATATATATATATATATATATATATATATATATATATATATATATAATTAGATAATACAATATGTATGGTACATCAAACAAGAGAAAACGAGGGGTGCAAAATAACACTGTTTTTGTATGTCTGTTACAAAATGAAGGCTGCAAAGCCGGCTTCACACCTGTAGTCGGGACATGCATTCGGCTCTCCGTCAGAAAAACGTCTTACGATGTCGCCAGGAAAGTCTGCATGAACGACGGAGGGACACTAGCCATGCCTAAGACACGAGGATTGGATGTCGTCCTGAGGAACCTGATCAAAATGGTTGGTCTAAAACAAGATTACTGGATCGGCATGAAGAAATATGTCCATGCAAGACACTGGCAATGGGAGGACGGCCGTGCTTTGGGCAACTACCAGGTACTAGTATGTTTCTACCCTCTTCCCCCACTTCCTAAGGCAGCAAACGCCTGGCGAAAAAGTTATTAGTGAACCAATAGGATATAAGAATTAACAGGTACCTTGTTTTCTAGGCTTTTACCATGTTATTTTCTAAGTTTTTATATTTCGAAATTAATCAGCAGAAAAATATTATCATACTTTCGTCACACACCTCCTCAGCTCAAACAATGGTTTCATAAAACTTGTAATTTATTCTGATTTATTCTCTCTCAGCAACTTCTAGAAGCATAATGTCAACCTGGTATTTAAACTATTCACATTATATTTCGTCACCATTGTATTTTCATTTACTGTACATATCTGTATTATGTATTTAGTCTTATATTTGTGTACCTGTATTTTATATTTATGTATTGATATGGGCCCTGTGCCTGAAATAACGATTGAATTAAATTGAATTAATAGATACAGGTACTAGTCATATTACATGTATGTAACATAGTATCCAGATTTTTTAAAGATTAATTTGTTATTAACATAAACATAAGTTTCACAAGTTTTGTCATGTTGATGTCATGTTTGTTTCCTTAACTTATAAGGTTATAAATTATATGTAATCGATATAACAAGCAAGCATTAAGGTAAATGAGATGTGTTTTTGGTTGTGTTACAGACAATGTTATGTTTTATCATGAAAGTTACATGTTTAAAGTTAAAACACAACAAAGTTCTGTCACCTAGTGCTTACATCAGAGCCCATCTCCCTTAACCCAACCGTGACGGGGGCCGACAAGGTCTACAAGATACCTTTGACCCAGTGTTGACGTCACACTTCAAAGAAGCCACGTGTCAAGCTTCACTGCGTCATCCTACTGAGAAAGATCAGAGTGACTGGTCGAAAGCTCTAGGTGAGAGAACTTTGTTGCGTCGGATCAAAAGTTTTAACTTTAAACAATGTTGTGTCTTCTGTTTCCATTAGGCATGGTGCCCCGGAGAGCCAGATAACCAGGGATCGGCTTCGCTACATGCGGCGAAACTCTGCGTACAGTACTGGGCAGCAGACAAGGGCAATCCTATGTGGGACGACGTAGGCTGTCAGAAAAAGAACAGATACATCTGTCAAACTTCCCCAACCTGATCAAAAAATGGAAAAGCAAATAGAATACTGACAAAAATGTATCCTGGGCATCTGTATTGGAAACAGATGACCTGGAATTTGAGACATTGGGTGGCACTTTGAAAAACATAATTTAAATGCAAAATATGTATTGACATCTGGGACTCATGTACCCTTATAGTGAAAACAACGGACCTTAAAGTAGGTGTTGGGGTAGCTTGAGAATGTGTGAGTAGAAAAAAGACTAGTAATATTTTTTTCAAATTTACATTTTACCCGGATTTATTTAGTTCATCGATGATTTAATATGATTAATTGAATCACTTACCACAAACCGTCCTTTATTTTACCGTAGGATCTGTAGTTCTATTTTTTATCCTTTTTAATTTATGATTAATTCTTTTTCAATAAATTCTTTTGAAAGAAATTAGACCAAAGAACCTGGCTGCACCTCGTGCTGTCCTTTGCCACAAGTTATGTGGAGGCAGACGAGGGGTAGCTACCGGGCGTGCATAGCAGCAAATATCCTGTGTGTACGGGCATCCGGGGCTACGCCTTGTGTTGTCTTTTGCCACAAGTTATGTGGAGACAGACGGGGGTGGCTATCAGGCGTGCATAGCGGAAAAGATCGTGTGTGTACGGGCTACTAATCGCGAAGACAGAAGTGCTTTCATGCGAAGGCCAATACTGTTCTCTGCTTACAGGGGTTGGCAGACCTACGCACAGAGTTCGCAGCCTTAAGGCAGGAGATCAACCGACTTCGCGGAACGTCAGTGGATGGGATCAAGGACGAGCTGATCCAACACGCCAGTCGGCCCAAAGCAGCCTTTGACGCAAAGAAGGCAGTGGGTCTAATGGAAACGCTTTCTCAGCAGGCCACACAGTCCAACCACCCGAAGGCCGAAGAGTATAAAGCTATTCTACAACAGCTCAGGCCTCTGGAAGAGAAAGAATATTTCAAGGACATCATCCTTGGTTTGTTTGGTTCTCAAGTGGTGAAACAAGTCAATAAATCCATAGCAGGTTTTGTTAAAAGTCATGCAGCTATCCACCACGCAGAGAAGGGAGCTAACGGTTCCGGTCAGACCTTTCAAACTAGTCGTCAGACTGGGAATAGGTACACCCCTTATAGATACAGGTCGGCAGGTAGGGGTAGGGGGCCGCGACCAGAAGATAAGTGTAACAACTGCAACGAAAAGGGACATTGGGCTAGGGATTGTCCACTGCCACATAAAGACAAAAAGTAGTAAACAAATGTGAGGATGCTATTTATTTAAATGCCTTGAAGGTGGCCAGGGAGAGAAAGAGATTGATTTAACTATGTAATGACGTAACAAATCTGTGGGCAAGTACTGTATAAGCATGTAGCCCAAATTTTAACAGTACTGTGTATTCAGAAATGCCTGCAAATGCACTGTATTATGGTAACAGATTTGGTGCGACCTGTGACTGGAATTGTCTCTGAGATGTAAACAGTACTGTGTATTCAAAAATGCCTGCAATTGTATTGTATTATGGTTACATTTGGTGCGACTTGGACTGGAATTGGCTCTGAGATGTCAACAGTACTGTGTATTCAGAAAGGA